TTTGAAAACCGATCAACGACCACCATGATAGAATCTTTTCCACGAGCTGTTCTAGGCAAGGCCATTATGAAATCCATACTCAAATCTTCCCAAGGTCTTTCGGGAATGGGAAAAGGCTTATACTCTCCCTTATGAAACGTCATTTTGGCTCTTTGACAAATTGAACACCTAGCCAAAACTTGGTGCACATTAGCTAACATTTTTGGCCAATAAAAATGACTTTGTAAGATTTCTAGGGTCTTTTGTATACCCATATGACCAGCAAGTCCTCCTCCATGAGCTTCCTTGATCAACAACTCTTGAATTGCACCTTTAGGAACACAAAGTTTGTTCCCTTTGAAAAGGAAACCATCTACTATGACAAATGAACCGTGGACTCCATTTTTGCAAGACTCCATGATTTCCTTGAGTTCAAGGTCATCTTTGTATGATTCCTTCATGACCTCGAAACCAAGAATTTTAGTTTCCATGATTCCAAGAAGATTATGCCTTCTTGATAATGCATCCTCCCCAATATTGGTTTTGCCTTTCTTGTACTTGGTTGCAAAGTTGAAAGATTGTAGGAATTCCACCCACTTAGCATGCCTTGCATTCAACTTCTTTTGCCCATGAATGAACCTTAAAGATTCATGATCCGAATGTAAGATGAAAGGCTGTGGCCTCAAATAATGTGACCAATGATCCAAAGCTCGAAACATGGCATAGAATTCTTTGTCATAAGTGGAGTAATTCAATTTGCCTTGGCTCAATTTCTCACTAAAATACGCAATTGGCTTCTTCTCTTGGATTAGGACAGCCCCTATTCCTTTTCCACTTGCATCACACTCAACTTCAAATGGTTTCATGAAATCTGGAAGGGCTAGAACCGGCGCTTCACACATCTTTTTTTTCACCAACTCAAACGCCTTTTGAGCCTGTGGAGTCCATTGAAAACTTCCCTTCTTTGTACATTCGGTGATGGGAGCCATAAGGGTGCTAAAATGTTCAATAAACCGCCTATAGAACGAAGTAAGTCCATGAAATGAACGAACCTCCGTGGCTGTTTTTGGAATTGGCCATGAAGAAATGGCTTCCACTTTGCTTGGATCAACTTTAATTCCTTCACCCGAAATGATATAACCAAGGAAAACAATATATGTTAGCAAAAAATGGCACTTCTCCAACTTTCCATACAATTGTTGCTCTCTCAAGGTTTTGAAAATCTCTTCCAAGTGTTTCAAGTGCTCCTCCTCATTTTTACTATAGATGAGAATGTCATCTAAGTAAACAACTACAAACTTCCCCAAAAATGGCCTCAACATTTCGTTCATAAGTCTCATGAAGATGCTTGGAGCATTTGTTAATCCAAATGGCATAACAAGCCACTCATACAAACCATGCTTAGTTTTAAAGGCTATTTTCCATTCATCACCTTCCCTCATTCTAATTTGGTGATATCCACTCCTCAAATCTATCTTGGAAAACACTTGAGCTCCACTCAACTCATCTAACATATCATCAAGTCTAGGAATAGGAAACCTATACTTAATGGTTATGTTATTCACCGCCCTACTATCAATACACATCCTCCATGTTCCATCCTTTTTTGGCACTAACAAAGTTGGAACGGCACAAGGACTCATGGATTCTCTCACGTAACCCATTTGCATCAACTCCTCAATTTGTCTTTGTAATTCCTTAGTTTCCATGGGATTGCATCTATAAGGGGGTTTATTTGGAAGGGGGGCTCCCGGAATCAAATCTATTTGATGTTCTATACCACGAATAGGAGGCAACCCTTGTGGTAATTCATTAGGAAAAACATCTTCATACTCCTTGATCAATGCGGCTAGCCTAGGGTTTTGTTGGACAAAACCTTCGTGTTCCTCTTTAGAAAACAATAAGAACACTTCATCTTCCTTCTCCAAAGAGTTTTCGAATTCTTTTAAGGAAAGCAACAAAATGTCCTTTCTTTTGGGCTCTTTTTGTGGTGGTGGGGATTGTGTTTGGGAAAGGCTTTTTTGTGGTGGTAAGGGGTGCAACACTTTCTTGCTGCCTTGGTGAGTAATGGTGTAGGTGTTTGATAGGCCATCATGTACTGATTTTTTGTCACTTTGCCATGGCCTCCCTAACAAAATGTGACAAGCATCCATGGGAATGACATCACATAAAATTTCATCCACATACGAACCAATCTGAAATTTTACTAGACATTGTTTTCTAACTCCCGTACTCTTGCTCTTATCAAGCCAACTCAACTTGTAAGGAGTAGGATGTCTAGTAGTCTTCAAGTCAAGTTTCTTAACAAGATCACTTGACACAACATTAGCTTCACTGCCACTATCAACAATCAAGTCACACACATCTTCATTAACCTTGCATTTGGTTAAGAAGACATTTTCTCTTTGAATTGGGGTTTTCTCAACCTCCACGTGCATTTGGAGGGCTCTCCTCATTACTAGACTATTTTTTTCGGGAAAACAGTCATCAACTTGCTCCTCCTCCTCATTAGAATCATAAGACTCTAAAGGTACATTTTCACTACCATATTCGTCCTCCTTCTTTTCTTCAAGGACAAAAGGTTGTGCCATCATATTCTTAAGCTCTCGTATGGTTAAAGCTCTTGCATTAGGACAATCTCTCTTGTAGTGTCCTCTTCCGTGACATTTGAAACAAACAATGTCACTTAAGTCTCCAGTTTTGGCTTTTCCTTTTTCTTTTTGTGAAAGATCAAACGAGGTAGGGTTCTTTTTGGTAGTGGAATTTGGAAAGGAAGGGGTTTCTTTTGGTGGGTTAAATGGGCGTTTGAATTTTGGGTCAAAAGGGTTCGAAGGTTTCTTCTTCTTCTTTTGATAGTCAAATTTCACCGAAAACTTACAAGCTTCATCAAAGGTCAGATTGGGTTGCACTTCTACTTTCTCATAAATGTCCTTATCCAAACCAGCCATAAACCTCCCTAATTTGAGTTCTTCATTTTCCACTATTTCGCACACAATGGAAAGTTTCTCAAATTCTTTAATGTATTCCTCCACACTACTCCCTCCTTGCTGCAAAGTGCTCCAATTCACATACATGGATTTCTTGTAATTAGAAGGAACAAATCGTCCCCTAAGTTTCTTCCTAAGCTTGGTCCATGTAGAAATACGAGTTTTCCCATTGCTTTCTCGTTTTCTTTGGACTCCTTTCAACCAAGTTTTAGCATACTTGGCTATCTTTACCTTAGCAATCTTGTACTTTTGTTCATCTTCCTCAACGTCTTTGAACTCAAAGTACCTCTCAAGTGATTGCTCCCACTCCAAGTACTTCTCAGGGTCAAGAGTACCATCAAAAAAGTCTACATCCAACTTTAGACTCTTGTCATCATATCTAGGAGGGTTTTGACGCCCATCCCTTTGTTCTTGTGTCAACAAACGAGCCATTAGAGCCATTATATTACCATGTAATTGCTCATTGGTTTCCAAGAGTCTTTGTTGGTTTTCCTCCATCATTCTAAGTCTCCTTTGGTCAATGGTTTCATTTGGGTTTGCTTGATCCATTTTGGACAGAAATGCCCCCTACCTGACGCGCCAAATGATGTAAAAACTAATAGAAAGTCTTAGTTAATACAAGCTTAATGGATCAAACTTAAGTGGAAAGAAAAAAAGGTTGGTGTTTTAAGTTAAATTACGGGTAAAGGTTTGTAGGTTGTTTTGGAAATGGTTAAGGAACTTTTTATAGAGGAAAGAAGGATTAGTTTGTAAGGATTACTCACTTGAACAAACAAGATATGTAGGCAAGGATTACTCACTTAAAACCCACTAGTTGTTTAATTTGCATGGAAGGAAAACTCACTTAACCACTCAAATTTGTCAAGTTAAACTTGGCAACAAAACAATTTATCTTAGCAACAAGAATAAATAGTTTTTAAGGAGAAAACTTTCTTAATTCATATATCATAATCTGCCATACACTTACATATCATAAGCTTAAATAAAGAAAACAAACTAGTACTAAACTACACGCATTAAACAAGCTTAATGTGTGTTTATTGTAACTAGACATGAAAGCTAAAACCTAGCCTAGAATCACGCCTAAGCTAAACAGATTTTCTTAACTGATTTTAGGCTTTAATCACCCTTAATTAACCTCTTAAAAACTGCTGAAAAGAAGCTTAAAAACAGCCATAAAGAACCAGCAAAAACGTGGAGTAACCTCCCCTTGATTCATGCCTTTCTTCATGCTAAATGTTTATGACTTTGCATTGAAGTTTCTCCTTGCTTCAAGGACGCCTTTTCCTATGCCTAAGGCTGTTGAAAACGTGCCTAGGATGCCCATTAACATTCATAACCAGAATGTAAACAAGTAAACCCTTGGTTAGCAAGAAACGGTCCATGCGCACAAAAAGTATCTAACACTTGATCTTCAAATGACTTAGCAAGAGTGATTTCTTTGTGAATTGGACTTGTAGGATGATCATGCTTGATTGGACTAATGGACTCGTCATGATTTGCATCATAAGGAAGGTTCAATCTCTTTTAGGTTGGATTTGTACCTTCATCCCCGAACTACCAGTCATGGTTCAAGATCTATTGGAGTTGACGATCTCCTGGATTGTTAAGGGGTGTAACCTTCACCTCGTGAAGAGTTTATAAGTTCCTAAAACTTGTTGGCAATTCTTTTGCTCTATCTTCTTTCCCTTTGGATGCCACCGTACTTTAGTGTATGATCACAGTGGGGCTCAAGCTAGGGTTTAATGCTTGATATATTCCCTACGGGTATTGTTTCTAAATAGTGGAGCTGCACTACTGTCACCTTAGTTCCTAAAGTTCAGCACCCCTCTTATGTCCAGGAGTTTAGACCTAAAACATGTTTTACTATGGTCTATAAACTGATTTCTAAGGTTCTCACTAACAGAATTGCTCAAGTTGTTGGTTCTATTGTTAGTTAGGCTCAAGCTGGTTTTATTCCTGGGAAACACATTGAGAAAACATTCTGCTTGCTACTAAACTCATTAAAGGGTACTCTCATAAGTTTATTAGATTATGGCTCGTGTCTCTTTTGTCTCTTACTGTATTGTGGTGAATGGTTTTCCTAGTAAACCTTTCCCTGCTCAAAAAGGTTTGAGGCAAGGTGATCCTATGTCTCCTTTTCTATTTGCTTTGTGCATGGAATGCCTCTCTAGATGTTTGGTTGAAATGACTCAGGATCCTAATTTCAATTTTCATCCTAGATGTGAGAAATTAGGAATCACTCATATGATGTTTGCAGATGATCGTCTCCTTTTTGCTAGAGCTGATCCTATCTCTATCCAGCTCTTCTTGGGTGCTATTCAGAAGTTCTCCAGTGCTTCTGGTTTGTCTGCTAACCTCAGCAAAAGTGAGGTTTACTTTGGTGGGATTTCTGAGATTGATCAAGATAATTTGCGGAATATTTTAGGCATGAGCAAAGGTAGTCTTCATTTTCGATATCTTGGTGTTCCCTTATCTTCTAAGAAGTTGACCATTGCTCAAAGTAGGCCCTTAATTGAGAGGGTTACTGCTAGAATTGATAGCTAGACTGCTAGGAACTTGTCCTATGCTGGCACGCTGCAACTTATTAAAAGTGTGCTCTTTTGTATTCAGGCATATTGGGCTAAGATTTTCATTTTACCAAAGAAGATTTTAAGAGAAATTGAATCTAGGTTTAGAGAATTTCTTTGGACTGGCAAAATTGCCTTTTTTAATTAAGCTCTTGTCTCTTGGGATCATATGGCTCTTCCTAAAGTTTGTGGTGGTTGGAATATCACTCTTCTTAGTGATTGGAATAAGGGTGCTATTTGCAAGGTTCTTTGGGACATAGCTCATAAAACTGATAATTTATAAGTTAAATGGGTTCATATTTACTATTTCCATAACAAAGATTTGTGGACTGCTCCTATTCCTAACAAATGTACTTGGGTTCTGAAGAAAATCTTAGGTTGCAGTGACATCATTGATAGAATTGGTGGCTGGTCGTCTGTTATGCATGCTGGTAAAGTGTGTATTTCTAAGATTTATTCTCAACTCAGGCCTCAATCTACTAAGGTAAACTGGATCATCTGTAATAATTATGCTTCCCCTAAGAGCATTTTTATTACATGGCTAGTTTTGATGAATAGGTTGGTTACTAAAGATATAATATTGCAATGAAATATGAACTGTGATCGTGTCTGCTTCTTTTGTCAAAACAATAATCAGTGTGTGTCCCACTTCTTCTTCCTTTGCCCTTACTCTAAAGACTTTTGGGAACAAATTCTTGCTTTAATGAAGATTCAAAAGTCAGCCCAAGATTTCCAGGCTGAACACCAGTGGCTTCTCAGGAACTCTAGGAGATTAAGCAGCAAAACAAGAGTCTACATTATGTGTTTTGCAGAAACCATACGTAGTATTTGGCTTCAAAGGAACAGTTTAATGTTCACTGGTTCCTATCTGCCTGCAGATTTGGTGTTTAGGGATATTGTGTTTAAAGTAGTTGTAAGATGCAATGATGTTGATAGGAAGCTGCTTGTTTTGTAATGTTCTAGTCCTTTAGTTTGGTTTTTACCAGTTTTGAGTTCAGGTTGCTATTTTGGCCTGTATTCTGTACTGTGTTTTGTTGCTCTGCCTCTTTTTTCTAGCCCTGCTGTTTTCTGCAGCTGAGTCTAGGTGAAGGTTGTTTTGTTTTATGCAGTTTGTAGTCTTTTGTTGTTTTGTGTTTGCCGGTTCCAGGTTGTTTCCTGCTTCTCTGCTTTGCTCTTGTTTGTCTGGTCCTAGCTTTCAGAACCCTTTTTTAAAAGGTGGCTAGAAGCTTGAGTCCAGTTTGTTCCCATTTCTTTCTCTAGAACCCTTCCTTGAAGGTTGCTAGAGAAGTTTGTTGAACTGTTTGGTGGGTGGTTGGCCTAGTTTTCAGGTCTTGTGGTGTTAGGTGCAAGTTATAACTTAGCTCTAGTAAGTTGTAACTTTCTCTCTTTTGGTAATAAAATCTGCTATTTACCAAAAAAAAATTAAAAACAAAAAGTCAAACACATTCAAACAAAGCTTTTTAATCAAATGATAGTTAAACACATTCAAACAAAGCTTTTTGAATAAAATGAAGTCAAATAAATTCAAACAAAGCTTTTTAAATAAAACAAAAGTCTAATTAATTCAACATAGCTAATTGAATCAAATGAAAGTCAAACACATTCAAACGAAGCTTTTTGAATCAAATGGAAGTCAAAACATATTCAAAATAAGCTAATTGAATCAAATGAAATTTAAACTTTTTCAAACAAAGTTTTTTTTAATCAAATGAAAGTCAAACACATCCAAAAAAAAAGCTTTTTGAATAAAATAAAAGTCAAACAAATTAAAATAGAGCCTTTTAAATTACATAAAAGTCAAATGTATTCAAAAAAGTTAATTGACTCAAATGAATGTCAAACACATTCCAACAAAATTTTTTAAATCAAATGAAAGTCAACAAACATGCAAACTAATTAAGATTTTTGAATCAAATGAAATTTAAATACATTCAAACAAACCTTTTTAAATGAAATGAAAGTCAAATGCATTCAATTAAGCTAATTAAATAAAATGAAAGTCAAATACTTTCAAACAAAACTAGTTGAATCAAATTATAGTCAAACACATACAAACAAATTATTTTCAATCATACGAAAGTGAAATGCATTCAACAAAGCTAATTGAATAAAATGAAAGTCCAACACATTCAAACCGAAAGTCAAATGTATTCAACAAAGCTAATGAAATTAAATGAAAGGCAAACACATTCAAACAAAGCTTTTTGAAGCAAATTAATGTCAAACACATTCTAACAAAACTTTTTCAATCAAAAAAATATGAAATGCATTCAATAAAGCAGATTGAATCAATTGAAAGTTAAACACATTCAACTCAAAGATTTTTTAATCAAATGAAAGTCAAACACATTAAATAGAGATTTTTAAAATTAAATGAAAGTCAAATGTATTCAACAAAGCTAATTGTATCAAATAAAATTCAAACACATTCAAAAAAAGTTTTTGAATCAAATAAATATCAAACACATTCAAATAAAGCTTTTGAAACTAATGAAAGTAAAACACATTCAAACAGAGCTTTTTAAATTAAATGAAAGTCAATTTCATTCAACAAAGCTAATTAAATCAAATTAAAGTCAAACACATTCTAATTAAGCTAATTGAATCAAATGAAAGTCAAACACATTTAAACAAATCTTTTTCAATTAAACGATAGTGAAATGCATTCAAATAAGCTAGTTGAATCAATTGAAAGTCCAACACATTCAAACAAAGATTTTTGAATCAAACGAAAGTCAAATGTATTCAACAAAGCTAATTAAATCAAAAGAAAATCAAACTCAATCAAACAAAGCTTTTTAAATCAAATGAAAGGTAAACATATTCTATCAATAAATTTTGAATCAATCAAAAGTCAAACACATTCAAACAAAACCTTTTCAATCAAACAAAAATAAAATGCATTTAGCAAAGAAAATTGAATCTAATGAAAGTCAAACACATTCATACAAAGCTTTTTTAATCAAACGACAATCAAATATATTCAACAAAGCTAATTAAATCAAATGAAAGTTAAACACATTCAAACAAAGCTTTTTCTATCAAATGAAAGTTAAATACATTCAACAAAACTAATTGAATCAAATGAAAGTCCAACACATTCATACAAATATTTTTGAATCAAACGAAAGTAAATATATTCAACAAAGCTAATTGAATCAAATGAAAGTTAAACACATTCAAACAAAACTTTTTGAATAAAATGAAGTCAAATAAATATAAATAGGGCTTTTTAAATTAAATGAAAGTTAAAATAATTCTACAAAGTAAATTGATTCAAATGAAAGTCAAACTCAATTTAAACGAATCTTTTTGAACCAAACGGAAGTCAAACACATTCAAACAAAGCTTTTTGAATAAAATAAAATTTATATAAATTCAAATAGAATTTTTAAACTAAACGAAAGTTAAATGCATTCAACAACGCTAATTGAATCAAATGAAAGTCAAATATATTCAACAAACCTAATTAAATTAAATGAAAGTCAAACACAATCAAACAAAGCTTTTTAATTCCAATGAAAGGCAAACACATTCAAACAAAGCTTTTTGAATCAAATGAAAGTCAAACACATTCAAATAAAACTTTTTCAATCAATGAAAATAAAATGCATTCAACAAAGAAAATTGAATAAAATAAAAGTCAAACTCAATCAAACAAAACTTTTAGAATCAAATGAAAGTCAAACATATTCAAACATAGATTTTTAAATTAAAAGAAAGTTAAATGTATTTAACGAAGATAATTATATGAAATGAAAGTCCTACACATTCTAACAAAGATAATGGAATCAAATGAAAGTGAACCACTTTCAAACATAACTTTTTCAATCAAACGAAAGTGAAATGCATTCAACAAAGCTAATTGAATCAAATAATAACCAACACATTCAAACAAAGATTTTTGAATGAAACAAAATTTAAATGTATTCAACAAAGCTAATTGTATTCAACACATTTAAACAGAGCTAATTAAATTAAATGAAAGACAAATGATTTCAACTTCACAAACTCAATCAAAGGAAAGTCAAACACATTCAAAATGAACTTTTTAAATTAAATGAAAGTCAAATGCATTCAACAAAGCTAATTTATTCAAATGAAAGTCAAATAAAATAACAAAGCTAATTGAATCAAATGAAAGTCAAACATATTCAAACAAAGATTTTTGAATCAAACAAAAGTCAAATGTATTCAACAAAGCTAATTGAATCAAATGAAAATTAAAGACATTCAAACAAAGCTATTTTAGTCAAATGAAAGGCAAACACATTCAAACAAAGATTTTTTAATCAAAGAAAAATCAAACGGAAGTCAAAAATATTCAAACAAAGCCTTTTAAATCAAATAAAAGTCAAACACATTTTTCCAAAAAAAAAATGTCAAACACATTCAAACAGAGCTTTATAAATTAAATGAAGGACAAATGCTTTCAAAAATGCTAAATGAAGCAAATGAAATTCAAACACATTCAAATAGTGGCTTTTAAATTAAATGAAAGCCAAATGCATTTGACAAAGCTAATTTGAACCAAATGAAATCAAATGCATTCAAGAAATTTAATTGATTAAAAAGAGAGTCCAACACATTCAAACAAATATTATTGAATCAAACGCAAGAAAAATGTATTCAACAATGCTATTTGAATCAAATGGAAGTCATACATGATTAGGGGATTTTTATCCACCAATCACCGTTTGACAAGTGGACCAACCAGGTTCCGCCACGTGTCCTTCACGTAGGCCAATAGGAGCCTGCCACGTGTCAATCACAGATACGTCCTCTACGGACCAATTGAGACACGCCACGTGTCCACCCATGCAAAATGGGAAAACCGGCCAACAAGGCCCAATCCTGTTTAGAGGCCCGGTCAGCCCTAGGTTTACCCTAAACCTAGAGAGTGGCACGCTTCTCAAGACTATAAATACTTAATTAATCCTCATTAAAGGGGATCAAGCAATTAATCTCACCTAGAGA